GGCGCCACCGGATTTTGACTGGCTCATTGAGAGGAGTGAGGGCCCTAATCTTGTTATGTATGGTCTTTGCCAAAACCAACCGAGTACTCGACGCTCTTGAACATGTTGAGTCATCAAGGTCGATACGCTAACGCAATGAGCCTTTTGTCATGTTTCCTGTTTTCCGTCCGTGTGACTTATTATGTAGTCCAGAGGACACCGTTGTACTACACAGAACTGCTTTGAGAACAGGTGACGGTAATGGCTGTAAGGTCACATGCCCTGTCACTGTCATTACTTGTGAGTGGTTTTAGTCAAAAGCAGCGACCCATATCTGCGAAAAAATAATTTATACAGGGTAGCAATCATAATAATTAAATATTGATTTTGCTATCGTAATATATTTCTGTATAAAAATTGAAGGCAAAATATAGATAGAGATAGAGATAGAGATAGAGATAGAGATAGAGATAGAGATAGAGATAGACCAAAAACAGCTTATTGAGAGAACTTGAACACATTTTTTTCCGAGGGGGGGGGGGGGGGGGTTGGGGGTTAAGAATAATTTTATGTTTTTAAACTCCCGAAAGCCGAACAGTTGAATAAGCACAAGACAGCGCTCACAGATTTTCTTCAGCCAGACACATTTCCGAGTAATATTACGTACTCTCGTTTTTACCGTACAAAAATCCACTGTAGAACTACACCCTCTTTTTTACCGTTGCCAACTTTGAAAGATATTTTCCTCTAAAATGTTAGAATTAAGGGCTCTTGAAGTGTAGATTTGATGATATTCCCTTTGAAACAAAATAATCAATATGCCGAATCAAAGCACATGGAATCTATCGATATTGTCTATAAAACAATACCTTTAAGCATTGTAGACACTCTTGAAAAAGATACTAATAGTTAACAGTTTCAGTGAACAGGCCAAGTATTTTGGGACTTCCAAAGTCCTCTTGTCAGGCAATGCTTAGCATGCATGCTTTTATGGAGTCTAAGCCCCCCCCTCCCCCACCCCTCAAACAAAAACCAAAAAAATCCCAACAACAAACAAACAAACAAACAAAAAAGCAACTCCCCCCCCAAAAAAAAACCCGCCAACAAAAACAACAACCAACCAACCAACCAACCAACCAACCAATCAACCAACCAACCAACCAACCAACCAACCATACAACCAACCAACCATACAACCAACCAACCATACAACCAACCAACCAACCGAACAACCAACCAATTAACTAACCATTAAAAGAAATATTAAAAATAATCACAAACTTGTTTACATTATATCATATATATATATAATATATTATGCATAATAGTACTAATGCTAATACTAAAATTAATAATAGAAAATAATGACTATGATGATAATGGTAATGTATAATATTGACAGTGGCGAAGCGTCTATATAATCAAATAATCACTGCTTCCCTTCCCAATTTTGAACAATTGTCGCAGACAAATTCCCCCATAAAAGTAAACCTCATACATTAAATGTAAAACGAAGTTCAAATCAACAATGAATAGTATGCCTTACATTCAAAATGGTTTCACTGCCAGAGAAATAGCCTGCTCACCCCTTTCGGGCTACTCCATAAGCAGTCACAAGCTTTGATTAAGTAAGCTTAAAGTGAGGCTGGAAGAGTCTACCAATAGAGTAGAAGGGAGCATGTGCATAGCAGTCAAAACTGTTTCATTGCCACATATACCCTGTTCACCCCTTTCGGGCCACAGTTATAAGCAGTCGCAAGCACTGATTATGTAAGCTAACTATTACACTGGTCGGGTCTACCTCATAACAGTGAGGGGAACTAACTCCTAATAATGTCTTGACTGCTGCGAGTGCTTGTTTTTTTCCTCGACTTTTTACCGTCCTATAATCAGATCGTGACCTCGATTATGACACCGGCTCCTGACCGCGAAAGCTAGACAAAAAAACAGCCAAATGTGAAATAAAAAAATTATAATTGTCATGTTCTACCAAGGAGCCTAGACTCTCTGGTATAACATGGATCTAGGGATGACATCTCTGCTTCTTTGCTTTTTGTTTGTGTGTTCACATCTTAAGTTAAATTTAATTTTAGTTGGAATTGATATTTAATGAGATACTTTCCCGATTATTTCGGCGGTTGAACATACAGTATTATGAATTCCGGATTTGCTTTCATTCACAATCCACAACACTGTGTCGCCGCCTCGAGTAAAATTCTTGAGTGTATCTCCAGGCCCTATCTGGTCCTGTTTCACTTTGATTACCCTGTCAATTAAACAAACAAGTAAGCCTTCGCCCCTGAATAATGATAATGGTAATACTGAAAAAAATAAAGACAATAATAAAGCGCATTTCCACTTTATTACGTCTGAGGTGGTGACGAAATGAAGTTATGTTAAAAAGAGTTGATGTTATAATTTGGGGCTTTATAACATAATATAGGTTTTGTTACAATTTCGTAATCTTCATGACACATCACACTCGCAGCACAGCACACAGATCCATGTTACTCCTTGAAATAGATGAAAAGTGGGTCATACCACGTTTGAGAAGGAATTGCTGTGGGGTGGTGACATTGATGATAAACAATATTAGCCTACTGTTCGGTTGTTCATTTCTTTTCCTTTCTTTTGAAAAAAAATGAGAGAGAAAAAAGAAAAGGGGGGAGTGGGGGGGGGGGGTCAATAAACTTATACATCACTTTTCTTATGATGCGACCTGCTCTAGGCGGTGTTATGGGTTCAATTCCTGATTCTGAAATTAAATGACGTTCTCTTTACACCAATCCACTCAGCAGTAAAGGGGTACTTTGCCTGAGTCGAGAATCAAAATAAGTGAATTATATCGTTTGATTGTGTAACACGCTGTCGAGCTTTATCTCTCTCGTGGGGCTAAAACGGGAAAACGAAATGCATCGACCTGTTAAGAGAGCTATGTGACTTGTTCTGACCTTTCTGTTAGAACAGATTCCATAAGATCATTCATTAGATTCGTTCGTTAGTGTTATAGTTATTAGTTTTAAGTATTTCCCCCTCCCCGAAAAAAATCCCCAAAATAACAACAATGCCGATTTCTATTCCACCTTTAAATTTCTTATGACTTGCATATTGTTCGTAACTCTCGGCATGTGTGTTGTTTGAATAGGCTGCAATTTTGATCTTTGTACCGGCCCCGGCTTCTGCACCCTCCCTAATCGCACTGAATAAAAAAGAAGTTTTGCTACCGATAACTTAACTGGGACTTCTCAGCCGGCGCCACTATTGTGGCGGCCAGGTTCTTGGCCCGTGCACACAGATGACAAGAATACGATTTCAGAATAGGTAGGCTACAGCTTGTATCAAGTACACGCGTAAGTCTGCTGGAATGGTGTGTTCCATCAGCTCGAGTTGGGCCTGAAAGGCTGGGTTGAAACTGTCCGTCTCCTAAATAATGAGGATTATGTGGAATGGCGTTCAAAATATTACAATGAAAAGGGGGAAAAAGGCGATTCTGACTACTACAGGATATCATAATGTATGAGCTGGCGTCTATTTAATTTCGCTTTAAAAACTTATTTTATGTCTTCTTTTGTTTCCAGACCCGACGCTATGCTCAGTTCTAGACATACGCCGACTAATCATTTCTGTCAATTTGGAAGCGTCTCTGAACACCGTACTTGGAAATGTAACATCGATTGCTAAATCGATGCACCCGTTTTCGCCGAGTCATAGACTCAGCACAAAACAGTTTTGGCGGTATGACGTTGCATTTCTGGAGTGGGGGAAGGAGGGCAGAGATCGGGACCAGCGCACGTGAACGGCAAATGTCATAAAGCGTAACAATCGTAACAAAGGACTGAGCGCAAGAGAAGGGAACATTACTTGCTGCTTTCGTTAAGCGCGGTAGGGCCCTAATCTGAATATCGGCATTCATTTGCTTTATCGCTTAATGTCGAGTTCTTTAGGAGTCGATTCTTTTTCTATAGAATACTCTCTTATTGGATAGCTTGACCTTTATTCAATAAGTCTGTAAAGCTGATATCATTATGCACCAATCTATTTTCATTTAGTTTCTCCCTTTTCTTCCCGCCCAGCTTTCTTTCTTTCTTTGTTTCTTTCTATTTCCATATTAATTTCCTCTATAAACAAAGTACTCGCTTATGACTGAATTGGTAGCATGTGTAATCATAGCATGAAACACCGTAGTTTAAATCCAGAAATCGGGAAAGCTAAAAGTTGAATTTGCTTGAAGAGTTTTCAAGATTTATTAGGGCTAAACGGAGGCAACGCCTCTAAGTCTCACAACGATAGCATACCATACCATAGCATCTCACAGCATCCCGTTGCATACCATACCATACCATACCATACCATACCATACCATACCATACCATACCATACCATACCATACCATAGCATACCATACCATACCAAACCATAGCATAGCATAGCATAGCATAGCATAGCATACCATACCAAACCATAGCATACCATACCATACCAAACTATACCATAGCATCTCACAACATACCATACCATACCATACCATACCATACCATACCATACCATACTATACCATACCATACCATACCATACCATCTTACAGCATCCCATTGCATACCACACCATACCATACCATACCATATCATACTATACCGTACCATACCTATTGATGAAATACCATGCCATGCCATTCCGTACCATACCATACCATAGCCTACCTGTTGATGAAATTATACCATACCCTACCAAACCACAGATCTACCATACCTCTCGATGGCATAGCATAACACAGCATATCAAACTCTCGATAGAATGTTATACCCATACCATGCCATACCAAACCATACCATACAATACCTCTCGAGTCTCGATGGAATACCATACCATACCATCAAACGAAAAATGACAAACACACGCTCCCTGCACACACAGGTCTCCTCCTACTATGTCATGGCCATCCAATTTGTAATCTGGCTAGAGTATCGCAACTTACGAATACATAGCAGGATACTATTCGATACACTAGGGGTGCATAAAAAGATCTGCAATATGTGGGCCAGACTACGGGTGTATATTCATCCAAGACGACGGGTCAATTACCATTCTTTCTCTGTAGCGAGACAGCTCAAGTGTACGTACAGGTAAGCGCGTGAACTGTTGAGACAATTCGCTATTAAAATACAGGGTATTATAGTACCATTATATTATTGCTTTGAGGATTTTAATATTCCATCTTTACCTTCTCCGTGAGTATACCACATGCAGTACTGCATGTTTCCGTCCGTTACTAAATTCACGATGATGTCTGTTTTTTTAGATTATTAGCTGTTAAGTCTGCAACGGAATTTTAAATATACCGGAATTACTGTGCTGAGTTTTGAGTTTCCAGTATGGATTAATCTTGTGTTAGACATCCATTATACCATTCTTTAGCCCTTTCTACTTGTACTTCTTCGCAACCCCTTCCTTCTACTTATATACTCACTTATCTTTTTCCCAGCCTCCTCTTTCTCTGTCGCGCTCCCTCTCGCTCTCTATCTCGCTCTCTTTCTCTCTCTCTCTCATTCTCTCTTTCATTCTCTCTCTCTGTTTTCCTCTCTCTTTCCATGTGTGCTTTTTTACTTTCTACATACATCTGTGCATGTCTCTTTCGGGCCTCTATGTATCTCTTTTCCATTACACATGCCTTCTTGACTGCCTTCTTGTGCCTGTATGTATGTCACCAATTGAACCCCCCTCTTCCCCAGTATCTCCATCTTTCTAATCCTCCCCCCTCTCTCTCTTTCTTCTCCCCCTTCTCTCTCTCTCTCTCTCTCTCTCTCTCTCTCTCTCTCTCTCTCCCCTCTCTCTCTTTCTTTCTCTTTCTCTCTCGTCCTTTTACCCCACTTTCTTTCTCTTTCACATCCTACATCCTCCCACTCTCTTCCTATCGCGTCTATCACACACTCTCCTAGCCTATTCTCACTTCCCCAAATAAAAGCCCTCACTGAAACAGTTCACCGTGATCGCTCAAATCTATCACACACACACACACACACACACACACACACACACACACACACACACACACACACACACACACACACACTCATACACACACATTTAATTTTAGGCTCAAAGGCCTGGAAAGTCAGGATTTTTGTTCCTTTATCGAGAGCTTTGGTCCGCTGATTTTTACGTCTCTGTATTTCAAAATAGAGTTGCAATACAATCTTTGAAATCGAAGACAATTATACATAATGTTTTATCAGATGAAGGTAGTGATGTTAAGGGTGGTAATAACAATAAAATATTATTGATACCATCAATCATAACAGTAGTAGACTTTTTTTACACAATTTATGTAGCTCAGCTCATTGTTAGGCACAACGCGCCTTTCAAATTACACTTTTTGGGGTCAATAAATCACACATTCTGCCATTATTCCTTTGAAAGTGGTGTATTGCTCAAACCTGAAAGCTCCACGTTATCAGAGATGGTGTGAGGGTGGTCGAAATATGCCATTGGTACATCCTGCTTATAAAATATACTCAGCTTCTCTTGTTTTATTTTTCGGCTGTCGTCCGTTCATAGCTCTACCCACTGGAGAGAAAACTGTATGGCTACAAAGTGGATATACAGCGAACTGCTCATTTTGTTTGAACCATCGGATTGACTGCATAACTGAAATCAAGAAGAAGAAGAAGAAGAAGAAGAAGAAGAAGAAGAAGAAGAAGAAGAAGAAGAAGAAGAAGAAGAAGAAGAAGAAGAAGAAGAAGAAGAAGAAGAAGAAAGTGCTTCTCTTTATCCTGGAATTGAAGGGATGGTCGCAAATTCAAAGGCTGAGACCCAAACTTAACCTATGATGCAGTTTAAAGGAGCCGAACACTTAACACTAAACTGGAACCCCCCCCCCCCCCTTTCCCAACACCCCCTCCACAGAATGCCGACCTACAAACTGACCTACTTCGACTCCCGGGGCAGTGCTGAGTTCATCCGTCTTGTCTTCGCCGCGGCCGGACAACCGTTTGAAGACGTGCGCCTCACACGTGAAGAATGGGCAGACTTCAAACCTAGTAAGTCATGAGTCAATCTCTTAGAATAGTTTCAATATAATACATATAGCAGTTGTATAGCGCAAATCCCCGCTCAACAGCATGCTCTAGGCGCTTCACAATACAATAATATATACTATTACTATTATTACCCCAACAGACCTGAGAGCATTCTGAAACAACCTCAACTTCCTGGGAAGCATACAGTGCACGCTGCCATTTATAGACTCTAAAAGACTAACATACTGACAAGATCTTTCGCTGTCTATGGCCGGGTACCCATTCCCACCTGGGTGAAGTGGAAAAAAAACTAGTGTAAAGTGCCTTTCCCAAGTTATTGACCCTTTCAGGGCTGTCCACCATCTGTCTTCGATATGGTACTATTTCTCCCCTGCAAAACAAAATCATCCGCTTTTTCAATGCATAGACTCACTCGGTGTATTTCCTTTCCTTAGTTATTTTTGACACAATGTTCGACAACCGTATTATTATATGTGTTCATTTT